GTTGAGCCGCTGGAACAAGCTCCACTCTTGGGACTGGCTGCGTCTTCTGGGACTGAACAGGAACTTGTATTGGGGACGTGGGCATCTGTGTGGTCATGCTCAACATTTACACTATCTGATGTTGGAACACAGTCTTCAGATGCTATCTCTGTAACATGAAGACCTTCCTCAGTCTCTGTTTCCAGTTTGTGGCTGGTGGAAGGTGGATTGCTTTGGTTCAGTGCTGACTGTTGAGCATCACATTCTAACACAGTGGGCAATTCCCCTCTCGTATTATCTAGATCTAATTGTCTGTCTGAACTGTTAACAATTTGGTTATCACATGAGCAAGACTGCGACATTCCACATATCGAGCAATCTATTCTTGAGCTCTCTGAGACATCTTGGACACTCATGTTTGCTGCTGATTTTGCAAGATCCTCAGTGTCTTGGCCAGTAGCCTGAGTGTCAAAGTTAAGAGACACCTCTGTTATATGATCTCCTGTGTATGAAGGGCCAGCCTCACTCCAGGTGATCTCAGTCTGATCAGTTCCATGGGAGGAATCACAGTTGGTGGAGGTGTTTCTACCCTCCTCTTGCATCACATTTGGCTCTCCTTCCTCACCATTTGGAGCTTGAGCCTGAAGGTTGCCATAGTGCATGTCATGGTGGTGGTGTGGGTCGTGGGCCTCATAGTATGAACTTTCATACTGGCTGACTGTGCCACAGGAGCAGGCAATGGTTTTGATGTGGGTGACAGGCTGGTGTCTTGAGCGGCGTGAGCGTTGATGACGCTGTGGTGGGTGGGGCGTGTGATGCTGGTCTGGGTGAGGCTGGTGGTGCTGGTCATATGGAGGAGGTGGAGGCTGTGGGATCTGGCTGTGGGAATGGTGGGTCAATGTCCGTGTATGACGCCGGTGATGGGACTGGTGCTCCTCCCCACTATCACTGTCTGGGGGAGGAAGTGGTGCTGGGTTATGGTGATGCCTATGGTGGTGGCTGCGACGGGACCTCCGCCTCGCCCTTGGCCGTTCCTCGGCAGTGGGATTCAGCCGGGCCAGGAACTTCTCACTCTGCCTCTCCTGCCTCATCTTGGAGCGTGATCCACTGCTCTTGCCAGAGGTACGTTCCCTTTTTCTCTCACAGCGGTCCATTTTCTTGCCTGGCTGATAGAGTGAGCTGAGCTCAGGGGTGAGGTATTTGCATGAGGGATAGTTCGCATAGAACTTCTGAACAAATTCTGAAGTGAAGGCAGCCTGGCCGTAAGCACTACTTGGAAAACTCTCCTCAGACACCTGTGGCAGGGAAGTGTCAGGCTCATCGATAGAGCACAGAGCTTTCTCAAGGGCAGCCAATTCCCCTGCACTCATGGTCCATAGCAGTTCTCGGATTTTGGTTAGTAGTGTCTGAAAGCAGGAATAATAAGGAAAATGAAAATTAAGGCATGACAAACACACACATACTCAGAGACAAGAATAAATGGCTATGAGTCAGAAAATTCACAACAAATATCTTGATCTATGATAAAAATCAAGTCTCTTTACAACTCACCCTAAAGGGACGGAAAAGCTCTGACAAATTCCGGGGTTCACGGTCAAGATTTAGGGGCCCATCAGGAAACATCACCAAGCCAGCTACAATGGCCAGGCGTGGGATGGTGAACATCAGAGCTGGATCATAGTCATCAATCTGATCCTGTGAGGCCAAGCCAATTCGCAGTGCCCTGGAGCCAACAGGTATACAAATAAGATTTCATGGTGTCTATATATATGCATACATACATGCACATACATGTGCGTGTGTGTGTGTGTGTATACATATACATATATCTATACATACACACACATTCATATATTAAATTATGATATCAAGATTATTAGTGTTATAAAATCTTGGTAACATTAACCCTACAATGACTGTACCAGAAATCTCTGGGTGTCACTCATTCCAGTGACTTCTGGCAACTGTCCAGCCTTTTGGCTAGGGAGTCAGCTACATATAGTGGAACTTCCTGCTCTACTGATGCCTATAACTGCACTCATCATGACGAGTTGTTTTTTCACGACGGCTATGGGCATGCCTGGCTATGACAGGTTAAAGACAATGAAGTAATACAAAAGAAACTTTTAAAAAATCAAGGAAAAGGATTAGCAGGTGAATTAATTAGGTGACTAATAACTAACTCCTTGGTGACTGGTAGATCTATCTGTGTAAACAAGAATAAAAGAACTAGTAAAAAAATGGTGAGCAGATGCAAATTCAGTGTTGTAAACACTGAATAAATACTGAGGTAAATGCTATTGCTCTTGCTTTAAATTACAACTTGCTATATGTTAGCTTTGTGTAATTCAGGTAATTCCTAGTATTAGACAAATAATCAATATAAATTCAACACTGATTCTTAAAATACTAACTACAAACGGTATGTGTATTTGTACTACCAGATCACTGAGATCATTCTTCCTGTTTAACGCTTCAGATCACAAACCAGAAATTAATTTGGACTACACTTTGAATAATTTAAAATTTTCAAAACAAATGCTGTGATAAATATTAATTGCTTTCGTATATATTAGCAGAGATACACTGATATTTTCTCCTTATAATAAAAAAAAATGTTTTCTCTGAGTCAATAGGTACAACAATGTTCTTCAATAAGAAATAACTCAAATATATATATAATTTTTCAGTTGCAAAGTAAGAAAACTAAACAGTTATGACACTAACACTAACAAACACACACAAAAATAACCCTTTTCCCTCACCACAGGCTGAGGAAAGGGAATGAGAGGTCCGCCATCAAACCACCACCAAAACAGTGAACAACAAACATACCTCTGGACTGTCTCTGAGAACAGCACCACCACATTCTGTTGCACGTCATGTTCCTCCACACTCTTCACAGGCACCATGGCACTCACATAGCTCAGCTCAAACTCCGCAAACAGTCGGTCAAAGATCTTAAGCGATTCACGGATCTTCTCAGTATATTCTGGCATGGGCTTCAGGCACTGAGAATGAGAACAAGGAGACTGAGAATGCAACAGAAAAGAAATGGAGGACAGGAAAACGAAAAGGAAATATATAAAAATGTATGTGAATAAAAATACACACTTATGCATATCCAGCTGGTCATTAACATGAACAGGCTCAACATTTGTGAATCCCATTACCTTATCCATTCCCTCAGCCAAAATATATATAAAAAATCATGAAGAATGTTAAAGATACAATGGCTTAAAATATATATATAACTAAATATAAAGCAAAATGAAAATATCTTGATAACATAAAAAAAAATGAAAAATGTTAGTAATTATGTACATATCCTAAATACATATACATGTTAGCACCCTCTTTATTTTGCTTGAACTTCTTTTATTTTACTTTTAATGGAAAAAATAACTATTGCCTCAGGCACCACACTACAAACTGATCTGCAAGAACTAAAATTGAAGACTAAGCCTAATGCAGGACAGTCTTTATGACTTGACTATATATTAGGGTCTCAGAGGTGATGTGACTACCTCAGCCTTGCCATATATTCAAGGCATACCTCTGAGAGGAGTCTGGAAAGGTAGGGTTGAATGGAAATTTGGATGTCACTTTTACACTTATGTGAATATTAAAAGGCCTCATCATCATATTACAGATAGCTCATACTGCTGGACAGCCACTGATTTTCTCTCTTGTACTATCAAAGAGTAAGAGCGTATAAAATATGAATATGTTAATCTTCTCATCCTAAGCCTAAACACACACTATATGTTTGGATTTTATGTACATGTCTGTAAGCACCCATGCTCAGAATCATACCCTAATGATGACATCATCAAGAATTTTCAGAGGTAAAAATAAATACTGCATTAAGTGCAAATTATGATCTAATATGCACGTAACAGGACAATTATCAAATATTTCAAATTAAATGATACACTCAAAAACACTTTCAAATCCTTTATATGTCCTAACCATAGTTAATCTTGCAGAATTACTCCCTACTTTCAGTCCTCAATCAGCTCAGAAGATTTAACCCAAAAGAGTTGTCATGTATTTTCAACAAGCATGCTCATTGACACAAACACAGTAACGTTTGATCCATTTCGGTTTATTATTCATCTGAAGAGAAACTCGTGAAGAGTTTGAAATGTCAATTTATTTTCATTCTTACCGTGGCTGTTTTCCTTTTCAAGCATACTCTTATTTCAAATTTTGTAAAAACTGACAGATAAGAATGTAAAAACCATTTGTCAATATACCTGTTCCCTGAGCAGATTTCTAACGGTTTCTATGGTCTTGGTAACTGCCTTTGCTAGGGGCCTCATGCGAGAACTTTCAGCCTCCCTGTTCATGATGCTGCTGCCTGCTGCCAGACACTGTAGGATGGACAGAACATTTTCATTTTGTTGCTCAATGTTTTGGAATAAATACAAATAGTGAATTTCCCTTAGGGCATTAAATAAAAGTTTTGATATTTGATTTTTAAATAAAATAAAATAAAATCCCAGCGGTTAAATTACAAAATGCCCATCTACAAACTTTCAATGTGCTGTCTAGAAAAAAAAGATAAGAAGAACAATGGAAAAGAGAAGAAAAGAAAAGAAGAGAAGAGAGAAATCATTATTACCTCAGCCCCAAACCAGAGCTGTCCTGCCAAGTTTTCCTGCATGACATCATCGGGGAACTTGACACGGAAGTCACGACTTGCCCGCTCATTGGGAATAACCTCATCCATCATCTCCACACAAATGTTCAGGACCTGGAATGTTATAATCCCTCTTAATTTTCTAGTATTGTATTTATGTTACACTGTATTATTTAACTAAGCTACAGTAGTCTGTTCAAGTAATGACCAAGTTTGCTGAATTAAGACTCACCCTGTCCTGACATTGCCGCAGCTGGTTGACTAGAGCAGTACATCTTTCTGGATCTTTCCTGCCATCGAAGCTATCCAGTTCTGCTGCGATCATATTTAGCTCATCGTCAGCATAATAAAACTGGGCCATAAGTGACGGATCATCTTTCTGCATAGGGAGAAATATATAAACATATATCAGAATAGCATATTGTCAAACTCAAACAATCTGCATTTACATCACCATTAAATTTTTTTTTGACATATGAAATTAAATTTTTATCTACTGTAGCAGAGATAGCACTTGTAGGATAATGCTAGTGGATACATAATTTTATATCTGATGCAAAAACCTATTATTGCATCAAGTTTCAGAGTTGCTCAAAAGCCTGGTAAATATCATTAGCTTCTAAACATGACAAATAATCTATAACAGTATGTTTGGATGAAAGAAGCCCTATCATCACATCTGGATGCTTGGTAATACTTTTACACTAATGAGCAGCTATCATTTGCAAATAGAGAGAAATGCTGCTGCTATATAATGCTCCATTACTGGAAATTTTATAGAGGTGTGAAAATAAGTATATACTTCATCATCATAATCATTCTCATACAATATGCCTGCATAAATCTGTTAAGGTATTCATTTTGACATACTCTTATCAAACTACCACTGTAAAATCTTAATTCTCTAACAAAAAGATAATTCAGTAAATAATAATCATCATTATCAGCATCATGATGAAAATAACTAGGTATGTTGTGAATGCCTTTCAACACTTCACTAAAGAACAAACGGAAAACACATGGTCCAGCACCTTGCAAAATGTCTGTATAGTAACACCTTACATAACCTATCAATGATATTGAGAAAAAAATATATAATATTTTTGATTACCAAAGATTTATAAAAATGTATGCCGTTTTACCATCGACACAATTAACTAAACTATTCTGCATGACTAATAGGTTTAACCCACTACTTAAGGCATAAAAGGTCAGCCAATAGGTCGGGTAACATGAGATATGTATATGGCATCTAGTGCTTGTGGGTGACATAAAACACTCATGCGATATCAAGTGCTTACATCTCCTGCAAATTCTACTATCAAACTAATATTACTACTGCTTAAGGTGGATACCATAATTGTAAAATAATATACTGAATAAGGGTAGATGACATTCACTTTCCTTCAGCAATGTGGAACAAAGCAATATACAAACAAGGCTCTTTAGTACGTTTAGCAATATGCAACCAAAAGTTCATCGTTTCTCTGACAAACAAACAACAAACAAGCAAGTGCACGTACACCCGAACGCACATGCACACATACACACCCGCATGCGTGCAAGCACGCACGCACTCACTCACTCACTCACACACACACACACACCCAAGTCAAGTGATAAGGTAATATTTTTGTGTATTCTATATCTGATGGGAAATCCTAATAACAACTAACAATACCAATACCGGAGTGACCTAGGTTTGAGGCCAGGTCAGGGACGATTGTTATATACCAATAATATTGATAAATGTTAGTCTAAAGTAATAGAAAGAAACACTTGAACATTAACCACCTACCATAATTGTTTTTAAAAATCAGTTCCTCTCAAATCTTATGATTCCAGGACACAAACCAAAGAGAAAATAACCAATCTTTTTAAGACAATGTATAAATAATAACAATAAATCATAGTAATAAAAATCACACCCATAATCATCATCACTACCATAATATTACCAATAGAGATAATAATATTAGTAGTAGTGGTGATAATGATCACTTTCTCTCTTTCTCTCTCTCTATACATACATATATACACATACCCATTCACTCACTAACATTCATTCATTCACACTCACTTACTCACTCACATCGCTGGTTTCCCTCTATGAATTGCAAATATTTTCCCTGCTATATATAACAAGCAGTCTCCCTTCCTTCTCTTTATGTTCTCTGCTCATTACTTTCTATTTTTCCACCCTACTTCTCCTACACTACTTTCAAGTATAAAGCTTATGTGATATTCCTCATATTTTCACCTTACAAAACATACAAATATTTTCTTTATCTACAAATCATACAGTATTATCAATCAGACTGCTTAGGAGACAAAAATATCTGATTATATTTAAAATCAAACCAGTATTTAATAATACAAGGTCTGATTTGTTTTGAATTCTTATAAGGAAATATATTGTAAATATCTAATGAGAACCAGAAAGTACTTGACATTTGATTGTCTTAACCAACTGGGCATGGATTGCATGATTATGTGCCATGTGGACTGTAATTTTTAGCTAATCAATTGTGTTTACACTTAGATGGCTCCACAAGTGCTTAATCATCAATCAGTCAAGTACTAGTTCTACATATGCATGTGATCTATCTTATTATATACACATGACATTTTTATTAGATATACATGTTATATCCATATTTGCACATGTGCAGTCATCTACCTGCAAATTTTAGTGTTGTTGCAGTACTCGTTACTCATTCCAAAGGTAAAATTTCTTTACAGCACTACTTGTGTTTCCGAATTCTTGACCATCTTTCTGGTGAAAATGATCTCTTATTGAAATTGATTCAAAACTGGGGATAAAACTAAATTCAGTGAAAAATAATAACTGTATTCCAAATACACATCTCAGCCACCCTCACTTTAATATGGTGATTAGGGGGGGGGGTCCGAGGGTGGAATCTTCCATGGTCAAATCTTGTCTCGTGTTTTTCTATTTTCCATTTTTTTTTTTATCATATGAAATATGATTCTTGGATTGATTTTAAAATTTATGACTTTTCTTATTTTTTAAAAATGCCTGCTTAACCCAATGACGCCGGGTGTACTAAAGGAAAATAAAACTCTACGCTCTGGCAAACAAAGGCAGCGCGCCGACTTTGAGCGCCGGAGTACGGGGCGTCAGCCCGAATCACTGGCTCGCCGCGCTTTGGCGCGCCGCCGGCTGGTTTGGCCGCACGCCACCTTTCGAGCGATTTGTTTACACGCGTATCGCCGTCACCCGGCGGCAAGGGGTTAAAGTGAAATCCCCCAACCCCTGATTCCCCATGGGATCCCCCGAGACTGTTGGCTAGAGTTAGGGGACTTCATCTCTTATGGGTGCAGTTCTGCTGTAACCCTTTATCCAAAGATTAATTAATCATAAAACACAGTAATGGAAGTACACCATTTCCACAATATTTCAGGAAATGAGGTAAAAAAGTAGTCAAGGTATTTCACAATTTGGTAAGACATGCTTGTTTAGCCATCTGTATGAAACTGAAATAGATAAAACCACCACAAAGGACAATGCAAGTACCTGGCAGCAATGGGTTAATAAGTCATGTTAGGAAAAAGAAGATAAGAAACCATTAATATGCAACATGCCAATTCCAAGTCCATTCGTATCTTCTTCATCAGATGTAAAGTAAGAATATGTATAAAATAAAAATAGGCACAAAATAAACCTGAAGAACTATAAACTTAAAACACAAAACCTGTACCCAGTAACTTCCTTACATATGACACTGACATTTCTTTTTTAACTGCATCAGCTACTTGTTGCAAGTAATTTGGAAGTCGCAGAGAAGCCTGTGGCTACTCGTGATCGGGTTCACGTCTGCATCAGGAAATAATACTACGTCTGCAAAGAACAATAACAACAACAGATTTCCCATTCGCTTCCCGTATGTCTTTGCTCGGGCGTAGAAGGGGGTGACCAACTCCAGCCCCTCCAGGTGCTCTCCCTTCACAAAACGCAAAAGGCCTGGTTCAGAAGCAGGGATAAAGGCCTGGTTCACAAAGAGGTAAAAATGGACACGGAAATGATGACTCAAGGCCACCTCCATCCCCTGTGCCTGGCTTTCTCTGCCTCGGCCACCCTATCTATCTCGCCTCCACATGGCCTTATCCCGCTACTTACCCGTGGTCTATAGAACCATTTTCGGAGAGAATTCATTGTTGTGGCCCAGGCATAGGCTCTGTGGCTGGTACGAGGCTCCGGGCGGGGGAAATGGTGCCAAATTCATGCAGCTTCGTCGCCTCTCTCGCTCGCTGACCCCTGTCTTGTTGATAGCTGAGGCCTCCCACCTTTCGAATCTATTCAGAGAGCAATTTAAATCATTATACATACGTTAAATAGTAAAAAAATACTAATAAATATAACTTAGATTACAAACGTATATAAAATGATGCGTATTGCGACAAATATTAAAGCCTTTATTTTTCTTTCAAAAGGTGTATGGGCGCGCCAAATTTGAATCGCCATTTAGCTTCTAAACTGAAGGCCAATGATTAAATTCTTTGTTGCTATATCCGCACTGCCTTTGTAATGAAATTTTCTTGTGACTTTTGCCTCTCAAACGTGTCAGTTCTATTGTTATCTGTTCTATATTTAATGGTCACTGGTTTGAAAGACTAATGTAATGTCAGTGCGTGAATATTATCTAACTATATGAAAGGAGAGTGCTACGTATTTTACCATTATTACGAGCATTATTATTGTTATCATTATCATTGTTATTATCATTAATATTAGCATTCATATTATCATCATTATTGTTATCGTTATTATTTTCATTATCATTCTTATTTTATTATTATTATTATTATTATTATTATTATTATTATTATTATTATCATTATTATTATTATCATTCTTCTTCTTCTTCTTATTATTATTTTTATTATTCTTATTATTATTATTACTATTATTATTATTATTATTATTATTATTATTATTATTTTTATTATTATTATTATTATCATTATTATTATTATTATCATTATTATCATTATCATTATCATTATTGTTGTTGTCATTATTATAACTATTGTCTTTGTTATTATTATCATTATTTTGCTTTATCATAATTACCCTTATCATTATAATTATTATCATTATTACTTTTGACATTATCATTTTCATTATTATCATTATTGTTATTATTATTATTATTATTGTTATTATTATCATTATTATTGTTATTATTATTATTATTATTACTATTGTTATCATTAACATTACCATTGTTAATATTATTATCATCATTACTATGATCATTATCATTATTATCATTATCCCTATCATTATTATTATTATTATTATTATTATTATCCCTGTCATTATTATTACTATCATTACCATTACATTAATATTAGTCTGTTATTATTGTTATTATCATCATTATTATTATTATTACTATTAGTATCTTTATCACTGTTATTATTATTATTATTATTATTATTATTATTGTTATCATTACCATTATCATTACTATGATCATTATCATTATCATTATTATCCCTATCATTATTATTACTATTATTATCATTATATTAATATTAGTCTGTTATCATTGTTATCATTATTATTATTATTATTACTATTATCATTGTTATTATTATTATTATTATCATTATTATTATCATTATCATTATTGTTAATATCATTATCATGTGTGATATTTTCAATATTATTGTTATTACTATCATATTGTTATTATCATCATCATCAGTATCATTTATATTATTATTAATATAATTTTATTACTATAGTTATCATTAATATTATCAATATCATGTTTATTACTATAATTAACATTATTGGTACTATTATCATCATAATAATTATTACTGTTATTGTCATTATCATTATTATTATTATTGTTATTATCATTATTATTATTATCATTGTCGATGTTGTTATCATAATAATTATTATCAATTTTATTATTATCATTATTATTATTATTATTATTATTATTATTATTATTATGTTATTATTATGGTTATCATTATCATTAATTTTATTTTTGTTACTATCATCATCATTGTTATCGATTTTGTTATCATCATCATCATTATTATTATTATTATCATTATTATTATTATTATTATTATTATTATTATCATTATTATTATTGTTATTATTATTATTATTATTATTATTATTATTATTATTATTATTATCATTATTATTATTATAATTATATGTATGAATTAGTGGATAATCTGCGCAGGAACACAACCATTCAGAGGGAGAATACTGAAAAGCCTGACATGAAAATCGAAAAACTCAGGGAAAAGGTGGAAGAAGTAGAAACCAAGATTAGCAACAGTTGTCAAATCGAGGCAAAGAATCTGCAAGAAAAAGTTGATGAAGTAATCAAAGTACAGGAAACTGTTAAGCAGATTGAAAGCAAAATGTCAAGCGGCCAGTCTCAAATAATGGAAGAGGCAAAAAAGATGACAGCTACATATGCCGATGTATCTAAGGTAAAGGAAACTGCAAATGAAAAAAAAACAAAAAAACACAAGTTCACAAAGGAAGAAATAAAAACAGGTTGCAGAGATGGTAAAGAAAATGAATTTAAGTCACACCTTGGGCAACAAGCAAGAGAATATTGCAAATTTCGCTGATGTAAACAAGGACTTAGTCATATTGGGCCATGAAGAAAAAGTTGTAGAAGATGGAATCGAGCGATACAACGAAGACAAGAGCCCACAGGAGGTTGGGATTATTCGAAAAGGGAATGAAACGCCCTTTAAAATACGATAATGAATAAGCAAATGCTAACTGATGTAATAAAGAAAGCTAAACTCCTGGTCACATACGGAAAATATAAGAAAATCTGGATTAGACAAAATGTGATCAAAGATGACAGAGAAATACTACAGAAAAAAAAAACGAACAAAGGACTGAAAAAGGAAAAAAACTTATTCATTTGGGGGATTAAAGGCCTCTAAGCAAAACAAGTTTACTATCGAAACCAAAATGTGGACACCCAATCATTAGCCTTGCAGCCAAAAGGAATAACGAAAGATTATGTAGAAATAGTTTATACAAATATAGATGATTTATGTTAAAAGTTACTAGAACTAGATGCAATTATTGAAAATAATAAACCAAATGTAATATGCATCACTGAATCCAAACTGGATCCCTCCGTAGACGATGTAACATTAGGACTCAGAAACTACAATATTTGGAGAAAAGATAGGGCAAATGGAAATGGAAATGTTAACAAGGAAAGGAATTATTATAAAGGAGATAGATATTCAGCAAGATCTCATAGTAGAACTAAAGGCAACTGAGGTAGAAACAAAAGGAGTAAACATTATAATAACCACTGTGTACATGCCACCTCACACATCGGTGTGGTCACAAGAAAATTACCCAAAAACCGGAAGTGTTACAACTTTCAGAAACTAATGCAAAAGAAATTCTTGTAACAGGAGATTCTAATAAAAAAAATGGATTGGGAAATTCCGATCCCAGACCTCAGGCAGATTCGTGGAATGCAAAATACTAGAAGTCATTAATGAATTTTGTCTATTCCAGAATGTAACAGACCGTACTAGGATAGGTAAACCGTCAATGCTTGACCTAATATTTACAAAGCATAAAGATTTCATTAAGGATATAAAGTAGTACCCTCTTTTAGGAAAAAAAAGTGATCATGTAGTAATTAAGTTGAAATACTGTCTGCTACAGGAAAAACTCATCGTAAGTAAGGAAAGAAAAGGAAAGTACAATTACAAGAGAGGTAGGTATAGAAGCCTTAAAGATTTCTTTGATGACCCTAAACGAAGAGAACCTTGATATGCAATATTCTATAAACAAGGAGTAGAAAAAAATGTATAAAGATTCAAAACTGAAGCGAGAAATGGCCAAAAGTGGCTCAGTGATAAATGCAAGATAATGAGAGAAAACAAACAATTCATTTGGAGAAGGTTCAGAAGGCATAGATCTCAGGCATGAAAGGCATATGGAAGGCATAAAGTAGGGAGAAATGAGTGTACCCAAACCATGAGGGAGGCGAAATTAAACTTCGAAAAGGATATAATCATTAAATATACAAACCAACCAAAGCTCTTCTTGATCTACATAAATAGTAAGACTTAAAGTAGAGATAAAATTAGCGCCATCAAAGACATCGTTTATATTAAGGAGGAAGAAATGTGTGGAATCCTTAATGAGAAATTTCTGTCAGTGTTTGTTCAGGACCCATACTTTGAAATGGCAAGTAACCGTGGAAACGTAAATCAGAATATCGAAAATATCACACTCGAAAAGAATGAAATAAAAGACCTATTGAAAGGGTTAGACAAGAATAAGGCAAAGGGACCAGATGATATATATTATGTACTCCGTTATTGTTGATATTCCAGAATTCAGTGAACACAAGGAAAACTACCAAAAATTGGAAACCTTCTAAATTATAGACCAGTTTCGTTAACTAATGTAGTACACAAGCTGTTAGAAAGGATAATTAGGAAGCAGTGGGTTGAGGTACTTGAAAAACACGATATAATATCAAATAAACAATTTGGTTTTAGGGAAGGAAGGTCATGCGTAGCAAATCTCCTGTTTCTATGACAGAGTTTCTGAAATATTACAAGAAAGAGACGGCTAGGTGGATTGTGTATTCTTAGGCTTTAAGAAGGCATTTAATAAGGTGTCTCATGAAAGACTATTATGGAAATGATGGATGGAAGACTTTCTTCATGAAGGACAGATGAGAACCGGGCAGCACTCTACATGGCGACGAGTAACTAGCGATCGGTCTAGGCGCCGATGTTTACTATTTTCGTAAATGATAAAGGGTCAAACATAAGCCCAGGTAGTTATCTGAATATGTTTGCAGACGACCCGAAATTGCAAAAAAAAGGATAATAGACGATGTCTCATGCCTATGCCTCCAAAATGACATCGAGAAATTATTCATTTGGAGTTGTACATGGAAAATGGAAATTAACACCAATAAATGCCATGTAGTCTGGTTCGGAAAAAGTAAAAATCGTCCACTATACCAATACAAGTTAAGAGACGTAATCTTAAACCAAGCAGATAAAGAAAAAGACCTTGGAAAAATCATAAACAGATGCCTAAACCCAAAAGATCATATAAATGACAAGGATCATATAATGCTAGAGCTGATTGCTAGCATGAAGAGGGCATTAGTGTATGTGGACGGAGGCATGGTAAAGGTCATTACAGCCATCATAAGACCTAGCCTTGACTATGGTGAAGTGGCATGGAGTCCACACTTAAAAACGG